GGAGTGGCTGTCCTCAGAGCCTAGGGAGCAAAGCACATGTCTGCTCCTACAGTTAAAGCTGCCCACTGGATGGCAACCAGCCGCGTGCTTGTAGGGGGTAACTTTAAAGTAGCGCTACTATGGGAGGACATAGTGGGGGACAATATTAACGATGAGAGTGTGATGGGGCCTCACCTCCAACTCACAGGGTGAAGGCCTCCCTCCACCCCAGAAACCCAGCCTGCCAGGCTTCTTGAGATATGAGGATAAAGAATTCATCCGCTTACGCTCTCTTCCTGTTCTGTTTCCCACAATTCCCCCTTTTGCTTTACGTAAAAATTTCAAAGGAGCCATGGAGGCTACATGGTTTTCTTTCATACGCATGTGATTGCAAGGACAGAAGTCGGACGATGAAGGGCACACTCAGACTGGCACCCAAGTTACTAACGATGCTTTTAATCCAGGCATGAGGGTCAAGTCCCTCCAAGCTATCTACCAATTGTTTAATGACATCAGCACGAAGGGGTGACTTTAACCTGCCCTTAAATGTATTGAAAACGTCCCTCTTTAGCTGAATCACACCTAGAGAAAAGTTCCCCTTAAACTTCTAATTAAAACCTAATTAGGTAAGGTTAGACTGTAAGAATAAAGGGTGACACAAAATTTGCAACGTTCTAGTCCACATTAACCATTAACTAATGTTGAAGTCCATAATCTTGATCTCTTAGCAAATGAACAGGCTGTTGTCATAATCCAGTCACTTTTGCATAAAACGTTCTGTTATGATTGAGCGCCAGCGTGCCCCCAGACAGCATCAGCAAGGGTAGGAATGTCTCGGCTGCAGCATGGCCATTCTTCTGAATCTGCGAGGTCTTCTCGATGGTTTGGGTAACTTCAGCAACATGACAAAGGTCTCTGGGCTGTTTTCTCAGCTCCCAGGTCACAGCATCGGCTGCCTTTCTTCCGGGCCTTGCTGGCTGAGGAGAAATCCACTTATCTCCTTTGACAGTGAAAAGATCAACAAACAGCCCCTCCCTTTGGGCTGTTAGCAACCTGGAGACAGAATCATGGCTAAGATTGGGTGTTTTCTTCATCTTTTCCTTGTCCTTCATCTTTCTCTACACGTAGCTGCCTCCTCCTAAGGGGGTCCATCTGCTTTCTTCTGCAAAAACATAAGTGAGTAGCCCTTCCTACAGGTGATGAACGGACAGGATCCCAAACGTGATTGTCATCCTTTCGGCTCTTCTCAGGATCAACTTTTTCTGTAGAGGTGAAAACGTGTTTATCTGCCTTAATTTTGTTAGAAATTTTTAGTAGGGAGAAAAACAAATTGTTAAAATGAAGTTTGTTTTTTTAAAAATCATTTTATTAGGGGCTCATACAACTCTTACCACAATCCATACACACATCAATTGTGTAAAGCGCATTTGTACATTCATTGCCCTCATTATTCTCAAAAAATGAAGTTTATTAAACATAATTTCTCTTCATCTCCCCTTCTGTTTTAATAATGGAGATTTTCAGGCAGTGTAAGTAAGCTTGATTTTAAACCTGTCAAACTAGTTAGATTTCGTTGTCATGTTAATTTCTGCTCCTTGCTTCAGAGAATCAGGAGAGTGTTAGCTGTCGCAAAAGGCAGACATCAGACTGGGCTGTTGAGTTCTTTTGACACGCACAGGATAATTTGAAAGACTGAAAAATTCTGAATAAACTTGTTCAGCTGTTTTTGACCTAACTTATAAAACAGATCTTTTCCCCATAAGTTTATAAGTATGGTTATAGTATAGTCTTAATTAAGCCGTATTGCCCTTCAGGCCTCTTACACTGGGATTTTACAATTGAGTGCGATTCTCTCGTGGTTAACTTCTCTTCTTCCCTCCATGAGGGGAATTGGGGGGAAGTCAGTGGGCAGGTCTTAGGCCATCATTGACGTCTTAAGGGAGTGACCCCATATCCAGAATTTAAAACCCTTTTTCCTTCAATTTCTAATTCCACGGGAGGATGCTGTTGCTTCTCCACAGCAGCTGGTCCAAAAGCTGACCCCTTGCTACAGAGGGTCGTCAGACTGCTCGGGTGCTCTTTCCTGATAGGCATACATTTTGACCATAGATTTGTAATTGACTTAAGCGATCTTCCTTTTTGATAAACCATGGTACTTCAGATCCAACCACTGCCCTAATTTCTCCTTCATGATCCTGATGGATAACTCCAGTAACAATATGAACACCTTGAGAATTTAGCTTGGACCTTCCTAATAAACGTCCGATAGTTCTTTTAGGCAGCGGAATCCGAGTGCCAGTTTTAATCATTTCTGGTTTGACGACAGCTTTTAGCTTTTCTTCATAACTTTGATGAACACCTCCAGTATCAATTTGAATGCCTCGAGGGCTTAGGTTACATCTCCCTGAACAAAAGCTGTGCTGCTCTTTCAACCAGAGGCGCCTGCTTTTTGGTTTCAACAGACTGCTGTGGGAGCTTTTGAACCTTCCTAGCAAGAGGGCTAGGAAGCTGGGGGACAGGTATGGCCAGCGTTTAAGGATCCCTGTGTTGAGTTCGGTCTGAGCCTAGCCTCCCAGGCTCTGCTGGGTGGAGCTTGAAGCAAGCTCTCCCTAGCTCCCTGCTAGGTAGCGTTTCCTAACAGAACTTTTGTACTGCTGAATCTCCAGTGGCATTTCTGCGCCCAATGATTTCCGTTCCCGCAGCGGGGGCAAAGTCCGGGTTCTTTCCAAGCCACCCTCCGTGGTCCTGGCCCATGCTCTGGTGGAGGCCCCAGCTCGCTTCTCCTGGAGGCTTGGCTGATGGGCCTGCGCTGCCGGCACTCTCTTTGAAAATGACCGCTTTCCCTGCAGCTAGCCCATGTACCTTTAGGTTCGGTGTCATTGGCCACCACAGCGGCTAGGAGGTCTGCCTTGTGTGCCTCAGGCCCCCCTCCCCTGGGCCTGGGAACCAGCCTTGAACAAGTTGAGCCTAAGGTGACCCTGGGCATTCCAGGTATGCACAGGGAGGTCACAGTGACTGTCAAGAAAGAGCTAAGGCTCCCTGTCGCCCTGTCTCACCTGGAAAAGTGGTGATGGAATGGGGACGAGATCCTAGGTCCTCTGGTTCAGCTTGTCTCCACTCTGGGCCTGAAGGCCAGGTCTGGATTAGGCTGCATGGTGCAGGCCTTCAGCCCTGATATTCTGGGTACTCAAGAGCCCTGGAAGAAGTTAGAGCAGGGTGCCCAGGAGGAAGGGCTAGATTAGTGGGGGGAGGGGGCAAGGGGCTGAGGCTGGCATTCCAGGTGGAGCTCCGGGTGTGCACCAGCTCCGGGACTAAGGGGTAACAGGGCCAAGGTTCAGGCAGCCCACCCCAGGGCCAGCTACCCTGGCCCTTGTCCTGGAAATCTTCAGGATGGAGTAACCCAGGTGCCTTTAGGGCCTCCACCTGGACCTGGCATAGATTTCACTCAGCCACCCCAGGCCCAGCGCCGAGGAGGGATGCTCTGTGGGGGCTCCGAGGAGCAGCAGGACAGTCTGCTGAGCAGCTGGGACAGGGAGAGGGTCCCGCCCCCTCACGGAGGGGTGGACCGTGAGCACGGTGACAAGGCAATCAATGAAGCAGGGTCTCCATCCCATCTCCCTGCATTCCTTTTTAGGGACACCCTGAGCACAGCACCGCACCCCCCGTTGCTTTCCGGGACTGTACACAAGTACAGTGGCACACAAGCCATGTCCCCGAGGGTGGGCTTAGAGCAGTGCTGTTCCCCCATCCACAGATTCAGAGAGGGAGCCTCGGGGAGGAGCTGCGTGGGCCCAGCACCAGGGACATGTCACAATGGGTCAACCTCCTGGGAGGGGCCAGTGGGGTCCAAGGCAGAGGTACTGGCAGGGGCTGGGAGGAATTACTGAGGGTGACCATGTCCACACACTCACACTCAGACCCCTGCTCACTGACACACTCAGAGAACACTCCGACAGACACACACCCTCACAGAAACACTTCACAGACACACACCCTGCCACACATACCCTGCCACACATACATATCCACAGAGACACACAGGCACACACACAGGCACTGAAATACACTCACAGGGACACACCCTAGAGACACTCACAGATGCACACACACAAATACTTTACATACCCTGACACACACGCTCCCATCCAGATACGCACTCAGATATGTACTCACAGAGCCACATTACAGACACACACTGACACGCTCACACATACAGACACACTCAAACATACACAAGCTCACACCACAGACAATAGACATACTCAGTGCCCACCCCACCCCCCACACACTGATACACATTCACAGAGACGCTACAGACTCATCATGACACACAGACACAAAACACACACTCACCAGACATACACAGACATAGGACACTCATACACACACATTCACCACACACAGACACACACAGACATACATTCAGGCACACACAGACACGCACACACAGACAAGCAGGTACATCACACCTACAGACTCACAGACACAGACGCACTTTCACATACATACGTGCACACATTGTATGCACATTTGGGGGTGCCTTGCCCCTGAGTCTTAGTCATGTTATCCTCCCTCCTGGCCTCTCCTGGGGCCTCTGACCACCCCCACCACCCTGTCAGGGCCCTCCTGCACCCTCGCCCTGCTCAACAGAGCCTCAGGGGTGCCCCTTGCCATCTCTCACCCCCTGCTGTCTCTCACCCCGGCACCTTTGCCCACGGAGGAGACCCCACTCCCTGAGACCCTCTCTTCTACTGAGACCATCCTCAGGGACCAGTTGAGGGCCATCGCCTCCCAGAGTGGACACTGACCCTCCCTATGGGTCTGCATGTGTAATGGGGGGGCCCACGTGTGTGGGGATGCATCTGAGCATAGGGGCCGCAGGCCGTTCCTGGCCTTCGTGGGGGTCACCTGTGAGACCCCCCCCCCCCGTGGAGCAGAGGGGGCGGGGCGGGGCGGGGCGGAAGCCTGTGGAAGACGCGCAGTCCTGACGCCCACGCTGACCCCATCGTCTCTTACCCCAGGATGGACCCCTTCGCGGACACGCTGTGGCGGCTGCGGGAGACCTTCAGGTCTGGGCGGACGAAGGGGGCCGAGTTCCGGGTCTCACAGCTGGAGGCCCTGGGCCGCTTCCTGCAGGAGAAGAAGACGCTGCTGCAGGAGGCCCTGGCCAAGGACCTGGGCAAGGTGGCTGGGGAGCGTCTGAGGGGTCGTGGCCCGGGGCGTGGTTACGGGCATGATTCGGGGCGTGACCAGAGGAGGTGTGGCTGGCCTGTCCGCCCCCTCCACTCCCAGTTCATCCTCCCTGGATGGGACCTTGCCCTTCCCACAAGTGGCTGCGTCATCTACCCTCTCCATCCCTGGGCCCCTGGGCCGGACCTGCACCCCCATGGCGACTGGCTGTCTCCTCAGTCGGACCCCGTTTACTGAGTGTAGTGTGCGCCCCGCACACTCGCCGATGAGCTCCTCAATTCTCCCAGCCCCGGCGCAGTCCCCACGTCACGGATGCGGAAACTGAGGCTGTAGGAGTGAAGGTATTTCTCCTCCTCCCTCCTCTCACCCCCGAGGGTGCTGACCTCCCACCACCCCTCCGCAGTCCCCGTTAGAGTCGGACATAATGGAGATCATCATTTGCCAGAATGAGATCACCTTGGCTATCAAGAACCTGCCCAGCTGGATGAAGGATGAGCACGTGTCCACCAACCTGGTGAGCCAGGGGCCCTGGTGGGTGTGCTCCGTTGCTAACGGCAACCTCTGCAGTTAGATCCCACCTGCTCTCCCCGAGAAAGAGGCAGTTTCCATAAGATGCGTGGTCTTGGAAACCTTGGGGGCAGTTCTCGGTTTTACAGGGTCGCTCTGAGTCCGGTTTGAGGTTGAGGGGCTTCCGGGTGGATGAGGGCGGGCCAGCATTGGCTGCTGCATGCAGCCTAGGACCCCTGACCACCTGGTGAGTCACTGGAGCTAGTGGGCGTGGGCAGATTGGGGGTATTCCTCATGATGTCATAACCTTCCTGCACCCCAGTTCACGAAGCTGAATTCCAGCTTCATCCGGAAGGAGCCCTTGGGCCTCGTCCTTATCATCAGCCCCTGGAACTACCCCATCCAGCTGACGCTGTTGCCCCTGGTGGGCGCCCTGGCCGCAGGTGAGCAGGGGGTCCTGTAGCCCGCCCCCTTCCCCCTCCTCCCGGCCGCCCCCCCCCAGCCCCCAGCCTTCTGTGCTCCTGCCTCTCCGCCCTCCAGCCTCCTCCTTCCTGTCTGCCTTTGTAGGGAACTGCGTGGTGCTGAAACCTTCCGAGCAGAGCCAGAGCATGGAGAAGGTCCTGGCTGAGGTGCTGCCCCAATACCTGGACCAGGTGAGGGGTCCCTGTGTCTGGCCCTGGTCAGCAGGTGAGGGGTCCCCCTGATCCTGCCACCTCCTATCTAAGTCCACCCACCCTCACTCCCTCCCAGAACTGCTTTGCAGTGGTGCGGGCTGGACCCCAGGAGACGCAGCAGCTGCTGGAGAACAAATTCGACCACATCTTCTTCACAGGTGACAGGGGCTCGGCCAAGCGTTGTGGGAGTACAGCCAGGGACCGGGAGCGTGGGAGACAGCTGAGGAGGGAAGGGAGCAGGGGGCAGGACCTGCCCTAGCCCACAGAGGGGTGGGCTCCCCTCCTGTGTCCCCAGGGAGTCCCCACGTGGGCAAACTGATCATGGCCGCCGCTGCCAAGCACCTGACGCCTGTCACGCTGGAGCTGGGGGGCAAGAACCCCTGCTACGTGGATGATGACTGCGACCCGCAGACCGTGGCCAACCGCGTGGTGTTCTTCCGCTACTTGAACGCCGGCCAGACCTGCGTGGCGCTGGACTACGTCCTGTGCAGCCGCGAGACGCAGGAGCGCCTGCTGCCGGCCATGCAGAGCGCCATCACCCAGTTCTACGGTGAGGACCCCAAGGCGTCCCCGGACCTGGGCCGCATCATCAACCAGAAGCATTTCAAGAGGCTGCAGGGCCTGCTGCGCTGTGGGCGCGTGGCCATCGGGGGTCAGAGCGATGAGACCACGCTCTACATCGGTGAGCCCCTCAAGGGTCGGGGTGCGGGGGACACGGGTGCTTCTGAGTTTGTGGCGAGGACTCCAGACCCTGCCCCTGGCTCTGGACATGCTACACTTGGCCCCTGGTCCCAGGCATCACCGTGCTGAGGGCCCATAGCACGGGGGCCCTGCTCTTGGGGTAGAGGCATCCGGTCCTCTGAGCCTATGGTCCTGGTTCTCAGGGGATGCCGCCGTGAGCCCCTGTGATTCTGGGTGACAGGCCTGTCCCCCGCCAGGGCCCGCTGTCCCTAACAGTACGTCTCCCCGGCACCGGGACTGCTCTGGGTCCAGCCAGGCTAGGGCCCCTCATGCTTCCCCCCTGGTCCCCAGCCCCGCCCCCATTGGCCTCCTGGGTCCCCCAGTCCCGCCCCCTGAGCACGTGCCTGCGGAGGGAAGCTTCTGGGTCCCGCTGAGCGCGCCCTGTGCCACAGCCCCCACGGTGCTGGTGGACGTGCAGGAGACAGAGCCCGTGATGCAGGAGGAGATCTTCGGGCCCATCCTGCCCCTGGTGACCGTGCGGGGCCTGGACGAGGCCGTGGACTTCATCACCCGTCGAGAGAAGCCGCTGGCGCTGTACACCTTCTCCAACAACAGTCAGGTCAGCCGGGGCACAGGGGGCGGAGAGGGCCCGAGGGTGCGACGCCAGAGAGCCCTGGCTACAGCTGGGGCCACGGGGGCCCAGCCCCTCACGGAGCATCTGGCAGGGGACCCCTAGTGTGGCCTGCTCTTTGAGGGACCTGCCCAAAGAGACCCCTCGTTCTAAATCGAGATAAGGCCCTACAGGGACAGAGTGGGCAGTGGGCAGAGATTGGCTGGAGACTGGAGGAGCAGAGTCTGGCTCGGTGCCCTCTAACCTTCAGGCCACCCCCTTGGGTCCCTGCCTCTCCTCCAGGGCACCCCACACATGACCCTGTCTTTGTTTCTGTTTTTTAACGGATTTCTTTTCTTTGTGTGCCTGGTGTTGAGCATATGCACAACAGAACGCTCCCGAGCCGCTGTTTCTCCACAGCCATTTCAGTGGCAATGATGAGCGAGCCGCCATCATGCTCACCCTCCTCCCCAGGAGCACAAACCCACTGTGTCCTCAGGTCCCATGGAGCCCTTCTGGTTGCTCCTGTCAGGACAGTCTCAGAGTAGCCAGTCTCACTGGCATCGAGTCGATGCTGACTCGTTGCGACCTCACAGGACTGGGTAGACCTGCTCTTGTGGGTTTCCCGAGACTGTTGACGGGAGCAGGCAGCCTCATCTTTCTCCAGTGCAGTGGCTGGAGGGCTCAAACTTGTCACCAATGGTGCCACTACCGACCCTCCTGATCTCTACCGGTTGCTGTGTGGTTACGTGTCACCAGTCAGTTATGACCCATAGCGACCCCAGACCTGTGCCGTCCTCACAAGGGTCCTTACAGCTTCGAGCTCATGGTTGCACCCACGGTGTCCATCCATGTCCTTGGGGGCCTCCCTCTTTGTCGCTGTCCTGTCATGTGACCAAACACGATGTCCTTCTCCGGGGACTGGTCTCTACTGATACCGGGTCCAGAGTCCAGAGTCCACGAGATGAGAAGTCTCACCATCCTGGCTTCTAACCCGAGACAGATGTGTGGGTTCTTTTGGCCGTCCGTGGCATTTGGTTAGCAGCCCCATCGTTCCAGCACATCCATGCTTATCTGATATTCTCTAGTTACTCATCCGATATGCTCTGGTTACTGTCCGACTTCCACGTGCATCGCTGGCCACTGGAAAGAGCTCAATGCTCAAGCGAAAAGGTTTTCTCGCCGGAGGGGCTTAGAGGGGTGAGAGAGTGACCTGCGACTCTTCCACCTTCTCTGGGGCCCCCTTCCATGATGTCTGGACCCCCGCTTCCCCCAGGTGGTGGATCAGATGCTGGCATGGACTAGCAGTGGCAGCTTTGCGGGTAATGAGGGTTTTACCTTCCTGACGCTGCCCTCCCTGCCATTTGGAGGCGTGGGTGAGTCCCTGCTTTCCTCACCCCCTCCCCGGACTGCCCCCTCCCCGACCGCTGAGAGCTGACCTGTGTTACCTTGGCCCAGGAAGGTCTATTTTGCCCCAGAATACTGTTCCATTTTTGGCTCTTAAGGCCTCAGTTTCCCTCCCTGTAAAGTGGATCTTGGAATGGCCAGCTCTCTTCAAGGCTCCTACCACCTGGGGGTTTCTTGACCTGGGATGAGGGCTGGGGGAGGGGTTGGCTCCCAGCACCGGCCCTCACCAGTGGCGCCCTTGCAGGCCAGAGCGGGATGGGCAGGTACCACGGCAAGTTCTCCTTCGACACCTTCTCCCACTTCCGCACCTGCATGATTGCCTACCCAGGGCTGGAGAAGCTTCATGAACTACGCTACCCACCCTATTCCCAGAGGAAAAAGAACCTCATCACCTGGGCCCTGAACTCCCAGAGCTGCACCCTTCTCTGATCACCTCCTCACCCTTTTTCCGTGCTACCAGGAGGCAGGCGGCCCACCCCGGAGAATCGACACCCATTCCTCTGGCTTTGTCTGGTCAGATGCCTGACTGGGCAGGACCAGTCTCCTCTCAGACCCAAGTCCACTAGCTCTGTAGCCTCTTGATCGGACCCTCTTCTTGGATATGCCTGGTGATGAGGGGCCCGCCCCGTCCAATTAGCAAGGACTTCCGGTGCCACCTTCTCTAAGTAAACCCCCAGAGCCTAGCAGCTCCCTTCGGGCCGGTTCGGGGAACTGGAGGGGTCTTACGTGAAATGATCTCATCTTAAACCCATATCTAGCCAAACAGTGGTGTCTGCCTCACATGCTGCGTTGACAAGAATTCTGATGCTGTGTGTGGAATTCATAAGAAGCGATTGATTGGTGCTGTCTGCTGTGCACGGGAGATGGGTGTACATATATCAAACTTATCTGTCACCCCTTGTTTTCCACCATCAGGGGGAGGTCAGGCCTGACCGGATCTAAGTCTGGCCTCATCTTCTGATGGACGGGGAACCTGAGGTCTAGACCCAGGACAGGGCTGGATGGAGTGCAAAGAGCAAAGAGGGGCCAGGAGCTTCGTGTTGGACTTTACTGAAGTGGGGGTGCTGCTCCCAATGCCCCCACACATGCTTCCCTTGATTTCTCACTCCTTAGAGCCTTGAGGGGAACTGGGGAAATGGTCTGAGGTTGAGGGAGAATAAGAAGTACAGTCCTTTCACTTCCCTGGGAACCGCTGGGTATTCATGGCCCCCCCCATTCATTAGGTGGGAGTGCCAAAGTCATGGACGGAAGGGCCAGAATGAATTCACCCCATCATACTGAGTGGTCCGTGGCCTGTGTCTAATGGACAATCTCGCTGCCCCTCCTGCCCTGAGAAGAAGCTTCCTCAAGGTAACCACTGGACTAAAGAGAGAGAGAACAGAGAATCCTGGGGTCACTGGTCTGGCTAGTGGGCTCTGTAAACAAGAGAGGGAAGACACAGCTCATTGAAGACACTTAGGCGGGTTGTCTAGAGAAAGAAAACCAGGACATGTATATATGCATGTGTCAGGCAGGGGTCTCCAGAGACACACGTATGGTTATATACATATACTTGAGGATAGGTTTATACCACGAGGAGGAATATAACAGCTAATAAATTAGTCCACACAGCAGTACAGAGGATTCAGTTCAACTTACTTTCCTGGAACAGTTAATATACTGGAAGTCCTTCAACTCACATGGGCTGCTGGGTCCAAGGTCAAGGAAACAGACAGCGGAGTCCTCCCTCAGGAAAGGCAAGCAGAGTCTGCCCACAGGCAGCAGGCAGCGGGGCTGGTCAGCAGCAGTCAGTCACTTGGGAGCTTAGCGGAGCAGACCCTGATGGGATCTCAAACTCAAAACTCACAGCGACAGGATCTACCAGCCTCAAGCTTACTTGATGTATGCACCAGCAGAGTGTGAAACAGGTCTTGAAGGAGCCTCAAGCTCTAGAACAGGATCCACAGGTTGGCTTGGCCCACAGGTAGTGTAGCCCACAGGTTGAGGCAGAGAACGAGCTAAAGCAGCAGCGCTCTGGTCTGATCACCAGGGAGCAAAAGAGCCAGGGGCGGGCCTTACAGAGCCATTTATTTTGTTGCCCTCCAATCAAGCTGCGACCTGGTTAGACTCCGCCCACACGTTCCTGCTGGCCTAGCACGATCGACGTAACTATCACAATGCAAAAGGAAGAGCTTCATATCAAGAAGTCGTTTCCTATCCAGAACGCATCCCGGCCCAGTTCCAGTCAAGGTCCCAGGTCCGATGCTAGCCAGGGTCCCCTCCAGATGCATGCAGCTGCAGGCCGATGATGCCGAAAGGTGAAACAGGGAGGTCACAGGCCGGCGGGGGCAGAGTCATGTGGGCCTAAGGTTGGTGGGGATGCGGCAGGGAGGAGACAGGTTGGTTCCAAAGTCAGTGGCCCCCGTGGGGCCACCCCTGGAGGCAGACAGAGTCCCAGTCAAGGAGGGAGGGGACGGAGACAAGAAAAGTCATCCATACCCCTCTAATAAAAAGGCCACACCCGTTAGGAGGTGGACTGTCCACTGGTGGAAGGTTGGACTCCACCTCCAGCCTGGAGTGTCTAGTGGACATCATCTTTGGACACACTGTGTGTAACCATCACAGACACTTGTTCCCATGGGTTCAGATAAGGGACACAGCTTCCAAGGCAAATAGGGATCCTGAAAGTCATGGAGCAGGAGAGCAATCCCATGATGACCCCTGGCCTGTGGTCAGTACGGCCTTCCCCCTCACTCTCACCTGAGCCCCATACACCTCTCCTGTTCACAGGCAGTTGCATGGGATTTGGGCCGGCTCAGCGGGGTGTGGTTCCTGGCTCTGCCACACTCAGGCTGAGTGACTTAGGGCATGGGCACCATCCTCTCCAAGCCTCAGGGGTACCTGGGGCCTGCTGACCCTGCCAACTCCTTGGGGATCTGTTGCTACTGGAGGAGAGGTGCCTGCTGAGCCTCCCGCACTGCCTTGGTGGGATTCTCTCTGCCACCCCTGGGATCACTTCTATTTCCCCTCTGCCCGAGCCCCACCACTTTTCCGGGGCATGTCACTCTTGCCCACTGAGCGCTGGAGTCTTATGAGGTGCAGAATCCATTACTAAAGACCAAACCAACACCAGACTGACTGCCATCGAGCCGATGCCAGCTCATAGCGAGCCCATAGGATGGGGTAGAACTGTCCCTGTGGGTTTCTGAGACTATTTGCAGTAGAAAGCCTATCTTTCTCCCTTGGGGCAACTGGTGGTTTCGAACTGCTGACCTTGCAGTTATCAGCCCAACTCGCAACCAGGAGGCCACTAGGGCTGCTTTCTGAAGTTCAGAGAGGAGAAACCAAGAAACCGAGCCACCTAATGGTGACCGGGTGGGGGGGCGGAGCAGGAGAGAAGGGAACCAGGGACTGTGGAGAAGAGGGGAGGGGTTGGCTAGGAGGCTGGCTGTCATCTTCAATGACCAGTAGCTTTGATCTTGTGCAGTCGGGCATGGCTTTCCGCCCAGAATCTGTTCTGTGAGATGGGATTTCTGTGGCCTGGCCACTGCTCGTACAAGCCCACGTCACGAACGGTGGTGTCCATTTGTGCAAACTTTCTGTCTTCCTGCCAGACAGACACCTCCTCTGCCTCTTGCTGAGGGGTGGGGGTGGGGGGGCAGTGCTTTTGTTTGTTTGTTTGTTTCGGTTGTGCAATTTTCAGGAGGCAGGATGCACTTCACGGTAACACATATTTTGGAAAAATTAAACTATGCGCAGAGGCGCACAGTGCACGAGGCGGGAGCAGGCTTTGCTATACGGTAAGCTTTTCACTTGGAAATGGTGGTGCTGTGCTCGGCAAGGTTTCAAATCCACCAGCCCACCCCAGTGGGAAGGATGAGGCTGTCTGCTCCCATAAAGAGTCCCTCTCAAACCCACAGGGCAGTTCTACTCTGCCCTATAAGTTCCCTGTGAGTCGGCATCGACTCAGTGGCAGTGAGTGTTTTGTTTTCTGGTTTGGGAATGCTCACGTTCATGATAGGACAACATACACGAGCCAGTAACATGGGCCTTGATTATGGCGCATCCAGACATAAGTATGCTCAGTTATATTGTAGCAGGCCATGATAGATTGTATTGTAGCACATGCACATTAGTTACAGACACACGAGTGACACCTGCAGCAAGCTCAGGTGCTTCCTGCATCTGGTTGTGCCTACTGAGTCCCGCTCTGGGATTGCAGTGCTTTAGAACCGCTTCGGACCACAGCCTGCATGACGTGGTGTGAACAGACCCAATGTGGTGCCCGAGTGTGTCTCGACACCGGAGCCTGGGCCGAGACCCGCTACACGGAGGCCTGGTTGGAACAGGGTTGGACCACCTCCCCTGGCCTCGCCCCTCTCTGCGCTGTACTCTGGGTGCCATCTCTTCAGCCCCTTTCCAGCGCCCCTGCTGGGCTCCTGGCCAAGGACCACACACCCAGCTTTCTTCCTGTTGGGTGGGGCGAAAGGATTTTTTTCTTTAATTTTTTTTCCTATTTGAATTTGGTTACGTTTGTTACTCTTCGAAACAACTTTAGTGGCATACAGTTCGCATCTCATACAGTCCAACAGTTCATTCATATTGACAAGAGCTGCACAGCCATTCCCCACCGTTCATTTGGGGGCACTCTCTTCTTTCTGGTATTCCTCGTCATTCGCTCCCCAAACTCCCCCCGGCGTCTTCTGCCATACCCCCTAGAAACCACCAATCCAGTGACTATCTCGAGAAATTTGCCTAAGAGATTTCATAGACAGAAAAGCATACAAGAAAACCAAAACTCAACAGCAGCAAAATAAGACAGATAAAAGCCTCAATCGAAAAAAAGCAGAATGTATTTTTTAAAAACTAGAACACATTTTAAATGGGTGAAAAGGGAGATCAAACGATACGGTGCTAAAGTTTAACCTGACCACACGTGGACCCTCCAAATGGAATTCGGACTCCCACTGTCACCCACAGCCGTCTGCAAACTGATGTGTGAATTATTTCTGGGGATGGATTTTATGAGACAGACAACCCTGCCCTCAGCCAAAGGTCCTCTGGGTGGGGGCTGTGGGAACCCCTCGGTCTCCATCGGTGGTTCTTAGTCACGTGGGCGGGAGGGACACTGGGGCTCAGAAAGACTAACGGGACTGGTCCTAAGGCTCACAGTGTGTGGCTCGGTCAGAATTCAAACCCAGGTCAGCCTGGCCCGAAGCCCAGAGTCAGGGCAAGCCATTATGTTGCTGGGGCCCAGAGAGTACATTGAACTTCCTGGAGTCACACAGCGAAACCTAGGGCCCCGACTCCTCAAATCCAGCCAGAGTCGGGGTCTGCACCCACCTGCTTCCTCCCGCTACTCCCTGCTGGAGCAGACACTGAAAGCCACTGATTAGGGGAGCATGGTCACATGACCGTCTCCATGGTCACATGACTGCCTACTAGCTGCAAGGGAAGCTGGGAGGCAGATTCTCACTTCTACCCTGAGAAGGGAGAGGATCGAGAGAGGTCACACATCAAACAAGCAAACAAGACGCGTTACCACTGAGTGGATTCCAGCGCCTACTGAGACGGAGCAGAACTGCCCCCTCACAGGTCTCCGGTCTTCACACGAGCAGGCAGCCACGTTCTGTGGAGGAATGGATGGTGGGATGGTGGAGTGCTTAACTGCCGTGCCACAGGGTTCTTAAGAGAGGCAAAGAGGCCACAACATG